AATATAACAAATAACATGATATTCCAAAGTTACTAACACTATGAAACACAAATATTTGGGAAATGATTAAGTGGAATATACTTTATAACTTAACTAGCGGTCGCCCGCCACTCAGTCCGCGCGGAATTAAAGAAAAACATATTTAGTAGCCTATGTGTTCTTCCAAACTATGTTCTATATGTATATCAAATGTCATCGAGATCCCTTCAGTTTATTATTTTTAAATGTTAAAACAGCCAGTATTCCAATATTGTTTCATTATAATTTTTAAATTATGTTCTTTTTTCAAATAAATCAAATTACAAGAATAACGAGCATTAAACTTTGATGATAAAGTCACATAGTTTACATCAAAGTTGATTGCTATCTGGTCAGTTACTTCGTAAGCTAGACAAGACTGAAGACTAGACCAATTTAATCTGTCAACTAGAATATAACCGGACGTATCTGATTATGGAATGAATACCTAACTATTCAAATTTAAATTGCTATTATATGACTGTACGATGTCACAACGATTTAAAGGTAATATGACGATGACCAAATTCAATTCCTATTAAACTTCCTGCTATTTTATTAGAATCTAACTAATATTATAAATGCGAATATTCAGATGGATGGATAAATAGATGCATGTTTGTCAAAAGGTATCTCCAGAACGGCTGAACTGAACTCGATGAAATGTGACATACAGATAGAACACATAGGCTTCTAATTAAGTTTTTTAGTTATTTTTCGCGGACGACGTCGCGGGCGACAGCTAGTGAAAGATAAGAAAATGATAGTAGATAAGCCAGTGGGATACAACATATAAGAAGATGGTACTATTCTACTAATAAAAAACATAAATAACACTTTAATGTGTACAGTCTGTAGCATTTACTCTATTATTATACTTCTCATAAAATAATATTGTAGGATATTAGAATATCTAAAATTATGCAATTATTAAGTAATTGTTAATCTTCGTCGTAATATAGCGAGATTATTGATAACTACAAATGGTTAACAATCAGACAAACTGAAGAGCACTTCAATATAGATAGTACGCGGTCGAATAAAGCCTTCTTTTGAAAGAAACTAAAACATCATCTTTACAACATAATATATGATAAGAGATTAAAAAGCAAGACAAGGAATACCGCTCTGAAATTATAAAATTAAAATTCAATGCACTTTATAGATAAGTAAAAAGTTTTTTTTTAAATAAATTAACAATTTGCAAGTAAAAAGATAGAAATTGTCGTTAATTTAAATAGATATTACTTGACCACTAAAACTTCTAAGATTTAGGTGGTGTTAATATTTGTAACAAACTAATATCCACAATTTCTATCATCGGGAAGACTGGGAACTATCCCAGACTGCGGACAATGTTCGGTACGAATTCAAGACGACCTTGAGATACAATAAGCCGGTTCCTCACTAATAAATATTCGGCCCACTTAGGTACTAAATTGACGTCTGAAAACTAACCTAAAAATATCTCCGCACACGATAATAAGACTATTTTATTACAATCTATAAAATGTTAATAGAGAAACTGTGTCTGCCTAAATTAGATCTACATTAGACATAAACGTAGTCAAATTAGGGAGTTGAATTTATAACTTCATTAAGCTTAAAAGACCATGAATCGAATGCAATTGAGGCCTACACATATTTAGTTAAGATTGATAGCCATAATGTATTTAAAAAATTCTGCAGCCTTCTCTTAATAATTGGATTTAATTGTTATTAGTGGAGACTTACGTATATTTCTGGATTACTCGATACCTCTAGAAGCTAAACTTATTATTATTCTATCATATACCATACCACTAACTGTTGGCCCAATTAATCATCGGTTGCCCAATTAGAACAATAATCGAAATGTTATTGATGTAATTAAAACGATTAGTTCAGCACAGTTTTAACATTAACGTAGATTAAATTGAACTTAATTAATACTAAATTAAAGCTTAAATTAAAGTGAGAAACAAATTCACTTACAATAGCACTCAGGACCGAAACAGGAATAAAGAGCTTAAAAAACTAGTACAAACTAAAAAAATCGGAGTAAATCAATAGACTGTATTAAAGTGTACATTGATAAAATGCTACATCCAATGGACCTCTACTCTATTTACAAGCAACAATGTACCAAACAAGTATTCGTAAATGGTCTAACATTCCGCGAGCTAACAAAAGAAACAAAACTTTACAAAACAAGCATTGCGTGAAGTCGTTATACAACAATAGGCAAAACGAATGCGAATCAACGTAACTATACATGAATATATAGTATACTAGCTATCGCCCGCGACTCCGTCCGCGTGGATATATAAAGAAAATTTAATTAATGTAGCCTATGTGTTCGTTCAGACTATATTGTATACATATGCCAAATTTAATCGAGATCCGTTCAGCCGTCCTAGAGGTATCTTGAAACACCCAATCACATAACATCCATCTAAACATTCGCATTTATAATATTAGTAAGTTAAATAAAAAGCAGCTCTTCAAGGCATAAATTCGAAAAAAAAATGAATAAATAGTATTCTATATCGGTCTCCTGGCTCTAAGCTACCACCTCACCAATTTTCAGTCATATCGGTAAAGCCGTTCTTGAGTTATAAATATTGTAACTAACACGACTTTCTTATATATATATATATAGATTTAACATGATATGTGCAACACAAATTGAAAGAAAAAAATAAAAAATCTAAAATTATGACAACACAGAAGTGGTTTCATCAAATTGTCTACTCAATATAAAAATGTAAAACCAATTTTAATTTAAAAACTTGTCAGTTTACTTTTGATTTATTTTGACCGTTGGGGGAAAACCCGAGGCCATTATCCATAACTCAGCGATCACAGGAAAAAATGCATTGCAGACGAAACTGCGAAATCATTGTCGTCATCACTACAACAGTAATGACGTCACCAAAATACGTCATATTTAACCACTGAAAATTACATACTCATGATACTAATGAATCATCATGCAAGAAATAGTTATTCACTTTCTAGGTTGCTGTTTGTTCGGTTGAGGGATAAGGGAGGTCCCCACCCAGTAAGAGATAGAGAGGGCGCGCACGGGTTTCCGCGTGCAGAGTCTATACTAGTGTGGAGGCTGAAAACCAGTCACCGACCGGTGTGTGCGAAGAGTATTCACATGTGCCCACACCCCGGTATACAGTGAGTCGAGGTAACCGGAGTGGGTTTAGTGGGTAGGCTCCTTGTCCCTTTAGGGATGTGGAGAGAGTCCCACATAACCGGAGTGGCTTTCCCCGAGGCACCCGGTATGGGTAACGCATTCCCCCTCTTAAAAAAAGGTTGTTGTTTGATACTAAAGTTAGGAATTAAATATCCTGATTAACATGAATATCAGAAATCATTTGGTTTTTTTAGTGTTTCCCTATTCAAATTCAAATTTTTCAAATTAATTTTAATATTTTGCAAGCAATTTGCGGAGTTATAAGAATTTATGGTTTTCTAGCATTCCTTTTATTTTATTACGTGCGATAATTGTAGTTTGTATTATTTAAATACGCGTGATTTTTTTTATAAAACAAATCTGGAATTGCGGTTGTCTATGGGCAGTGTTCTATTATCTAGTCCACCTAACATTAAAAGTGCATCTTAATTTTCTTTAAAACAACCGAATACATCTCTTCCAACTTTTAACCTTCTAAAAGAAAATCTTTTAGAACACGATGGCATAAATTTAAATCAAAAGCAGACAATGTTTGATTAATATTTTAAGTTAGATTGAAAAGAGCAGCTTCTGTACAATTAACACAAGTCATGGCGCAGATGAATGACCGACGAAGCACGCGGCATCAAAGGACATCTGGTTATTTTACAACTTTATGTTAATAAATATTTTAAATTTCCATACAATTTTTTTGCAAAATCCAATACTAATATAATTGGGAATTATGTTATGAATTTTACCCTAACGTAGTCATTTATAGGATACCATGTCTTTTAAGGTATTTAAAAGGTTAACATGGTATGGGTATGTTATGAAGGAATCACAAGTGACAAGGAAAACTTGAATTGTGAATGTAAACCAGTTGAAGTAAGCTTAGGAAGTCATGGGTAGATTACGTGAAAGGTGACAGGTGACAGGATCAAGAAGGGAACGACTACGGAGATTACGGAAGAATAATCTCCGTCGATCTGGGACACGGAAACCTAGTTCAGTGGAAACCATGTGAGTGGAATAAGGATAGGGAGATGACGATGATGGCTCTTTTGATACGTTTTTATTGGAACAGAAGAGTATGACACCATGATAATTGCAATGCCGGTCACGAAAGTCATATTTATCCGTTAATTGACCTCTAATGAAGTCTCTTAAGTAAATTTTAGTATAAGGCATCATCATTAAGTTCTACACTGCCTTAGATTTGATATATAAGAGTATAATATTATCAATATTGTAGAAATTCTAAACACGCGAAGTGACCCACATATTTGTCAAGAAATGTTATAACTCAAATAACACTAATTTTGGCCGCAAGTGTAACAGATACTATGACACCTAAATTTTTGGGTTGTAACACTATACCAATGAAGATTTGGTAATACACCTTGAGTTGTGGTGTGGTAAATAGATTAACACTGTTATTCTAGTGTTAACTAAAATGTATAATTAAATTAAAAGACGTAATTTTTACCCACAGCAATACTCGTAGGTTCGTGGCATTTACTTAATCTCAATTAGAACATCCTTAGTGGATGTTCACTAAGCCTATTTTGGCCCAAGCGTAGAGCCAATAATGTTCAATTAATTTTCTTGTAAGTGGTCATTTGTTTTTTATAAAAAAAAATTGACTTTATTATCATAACTTTTGGCTACCAATTCCATATCACATTATAAATTAAACAATCATAACCGGAATAATTCTCAAGTGCACAATATTTTTTATGACATTCAAACGAGAATACTTATAAAACATTCAATATCAATATGAAAATAATTAAGAGTTTATGAAAAAACTTACTGAAAAATAAAATATTATCTGTCTGGAAATGCACAACACAAGTTCACTTTAAAAAAATATTATATTACTTTGTTAAAAGAAACGATCGAAAGTTTTCAACGTTCAATTTGCGGCACATGCGTTCACCGAGACTGCTCCTCGCGGAATGATAACAGACGGCCTAGAGCCGGTGTTGTTATACCATGGCGTCATCACACACTGCGGGTACGACACGACACCGACACGACATGACCACGGTGTCAACCATGACACGACAATAAACAATAGAGAATACAAATATAATTTAATTGCATACATTGAATCTCAAAAGAAGACATTTAGATCCAATTCCTTTTACTCATAAATTATAAAATTATACATTTGTTTAACAATGCACGGATAAATTAGAAAAGTCCATCGCGTAAGGACGGTGTAATAAAATATCAAAATAAGAAAATTAAATAAGTACAAGTACAAGGCAAACAATTTATATTTAAAATTTTATATAATAAAAATATGGAAATTACATAATGACAAAGCAATGTCAAATACTACATAATGTAAACACGAACCAGAAATATAAAAGGAAGAAATAATGAAAATATTTAAAGGTTAATGAAATTAAAACTCATTGTCAGAAAAGCATGATTAATTATTGATTTTCTATAACTTGTAATCTACAAAGTTCTTTTGTAGATCAAACTCTAAGAAATTATAGAAAATCATGTACATTTTTCGGTGTTCGAGAAAATTTACTAAAACGATAGAAACTTGGTTATACACAGATATACAATATTTAAAATTAGTGAAAAATTTTCCTACCATAAAATTTGGATCTGAATTCAACACTATATTGTTTAATTAAATTACGCAATAGTAATCTTCAGGTGTAAAGAGCCCAAATCGATCTCACCTCCAACCACTAGTTGGCTGGCGTAAAGGCAGAAACTACGGATTGCAAACGTCTCATTAACGATAGATTTTAGTCAAGTCATCGTAGAACTATAAATTATCATAGGTAACAAAGAATAGGTCTCCTCGGATTATATTTTTACTAAAGTAGTTTGTTTTTCTTAGGCATATGCATTTAATATGTAAATACATATAAATATAATAAGTCTTAATAACTTTAAAGTTCCTGGTGTCATTCCTATTATTTCCAGGAACACAAAATTGCTAGCAAATCGAGCTCCTTGTATTAAACCGACTTCAAAAAGGAGGAGGTCCTCAATTCGTATTTATTTTTTTCGTATATAAACAACACCAGTGTTATTATATAAACACATAAATACAATTATATTGCTCCAAATAAGTCAACACCTTTACAAAAACATGTCAATTAAGTTACCGTTAACTTTTAACTTGGTCGAGTATTTTAATCATTATAATTATTAAAAAAAACCGCACAACTGTACATAATTAAATCATACGACATGATATGATGTACAGTACAGATGAAACTTTTTTTCAATTTTATAAGATAACATGTTATTGAATCCATTTTTAGATAACGGTATCATGAATGATTTTATTTAAACAGTAACTGTCGTCCGCGACTCCGTCTGTGCGGAATTAAAAAAAAAAGTTAATAAGTATCCTACGTGTTCTTTCAATATATGTTCTACATCTATGCCAAATTTCAGCGAGATCGGTTTAGTCATTCCGGAGATACCTTCAAACAAACCAAATCCATCAAAACATTCATATTTATAATATTACCAAGAAGTAAGATTGTTTAAATCCGTAGTCTCTGCCTACTCCACCGGGTTCCGGGCGTAAATTATGTATATTTAAATGTGGTAAACAGATAACCTAAAAACTTACAAATTGTAATCTATCGACCTTCAAGTTTTTTACAGATAGAATTTACATTATCGTGTTTGAACTTGTGCGTAGATAATAACAGATAATTAAGAATATTATGAATTAATTCGGTCATTAAATGTTATCAAATACTACTATAAACTATAAAAAAAAACATCAATAAACAAAAAACTATAAAACCTTTTTGGTCTAAACTCGATGACTAAATTTAACGAAGCTATGGAGTAGAAATCTGATGTTTTTTTATAGACTTACATCTTTATAAAGAAAGTTTTACATACCATAAATGGCAATATTGTTCGATTTGCGACACGTTTTAATGATACATTTCTATATTTATCTCAACTAGACTACCTTCACATTAATAAAATGTCAATAGCGTTATTACGGTAGTCCAGTCAAAATGTTCAGTATGCAATTGCATAGCAAGTCATGGACTAATCTTTATTCCCTATACTAAAGAGCATCCATAATCGATTTGCAGGGGTAATAGCGAGACCAGTGCGAAGACCAAGTCAGATGGAAAGTCGTAATCGCAACGCAGTGGTAGAGCCCGCTTTCACATCTTCGCACGAATTGGCCCGGCTCGCCCGGTGAAATACCACGACCACACAGAAGACAGGCGTCAAGTGGAAGCAATTCCACGTTTCGTCTGATGAGTGTGCGTCCCGGAGGCCTAATTTTAATCCTCTTTCCCTTCCCACCCTTTTTCTCATAAGAAAAGCATAGGAAGTGGAAGTAGACTTTCCGGATGAGAGGATGCATGGGAAGGGAAAATATTTTCTTTCTGTGCATCCCCTCCATCGTCGATAAACGTTAGGCAAAGCATATGCACTTGCATATGTCTATGGGTAATGATCGCTTCGCTATTTCAGCGATTTAAGACGGCCGCTCGCTCGTTTGCCACCTTTTGATATAAAAAAAACTTCAGAAAGTGAACACAACCCCAATTATTTCATACAATGATTATTGTAAAAATAGTATTTATAGTTTTACTGACCTTCAAATAGTCGGACATATAGTTATCTTAAATTAGATTAGTCATTGTACGAATTTACAAAGACGCGAATATGAGCTCTTCTGATGTTACGAACGTCAATTAAAATTGGTCACATATCGTGTAATGCGTTTCTTCTTCTTCATCAGCTCACTGTACGACCCCACCGAGGGGCTCAGAGCCTACCCTAAGTTAAGGGTGATTAGGCCATAGTCACGCTGGCCAAGTGCGGGTTGGTTGACTTCGTGTAATGCGTTTGCTTTCATAATATTAAAAGGCACATCTTGTCTCGCTAATGATATAAATGGTTTTGTATAATGAAAAATGACGTCAGATTTCCTCTTACATGATTTCTGAAGCAATGACTTGCGTTTATACATTGCATAAAATTGCGCAAGTTCTATTTTAATTTTAACAAACGTTGTCTATATTAAACTCATAAACTAGAAAAGTCAACAGTAGGATATTATAGTTCTTTTTTCAAATAAATACTAACTTATATAGAGGAAGTATTTGCCTATGTTATGAACAAGAACGCGAGGTGATGTAAAGAAAAGATTTGAAAATTATTGAATGCAATAATTCACGATAAAATTAGATTTTATAATGTAAAAGGTGTTATCTGAAGTAATGTGGGTTAAAAATATATGTAAGTAACCTTGGGATTGTTTGACAAAACATTGATTCACTTTTTTATATCTTTTTAAAAAATTAGAGGTAACAACGTTTTAGCTGTCGAAAGACACAGACATGTCGCTAGTTTTGTTAATAATGGTAAAATAAAATAAAAAATCTGTATAAAACATATCGTAACCCATGTTATTATCTTTGACAAGACAGAGTTTTTTTTATAAGAGAAGGGGGCAAACGAGCTACGGGAACACCGAGGTGATCAACGACACCCATGGACATCTGCAACACCAGAGGAACCGCAGATGCGTTGTCGGCCTTTCAGGAAATGGTATGCTCGCTTCTTGAAGGTCCCTAAGTCGTATTGGTTTGGAAATAACAACAACATATTTTTAATGGGAACTTTGGTCTCAGAAACTCCCCGTTAACCATTTAAACTTTATCAAGTATATTGCTTTCACACATTTTAGTCGCGGGAATTCTGAAAGTGTTTTACCCATACAAACAGTTCAAGGGGAATCAAACTGATTACAACTGAATATAAAAATATTTAACGTACGAAATATCTTACAATATACATAATAGTTATTTGGTTTTACCGAGTCTGGATTTACCCACTAAAAAAAATAGGCATCTGGACATAATTCCCAGAAAGATCTTTTTTTTCTTTTACCAAAAGAATAATGTCTTATTAATATATGTTATTTATCTCGTAATTACTGACAGACAACTGCCGGATGGCAAAAGCACTTTAGGAGAAAAAACACTAACGACTGCGAAGCATTTTTAGATTTTCATTAAACGTCTTTAGAACAACGCAACAATTTCGTAAATATTAAATAGGTCACTGATATGAACCTAGGTTGTTTTAAAATAAATCAGACACGTGCCGCGGTGTCGTCATAGCGTCAAGAAAAAAATGTATGAAGTTGCATCATTATTTTAGTACGCCTAGCCTAGGTAACGCTTCACGCCGATATTCCTATGGCGATACAAAAAATAACATACATTTATAGAAAAAAAATTCTAGGTTTTGTTTTAGTTAACCTTGAATAACATCAAATAAAAAATCGGAGTACAAGGAGCGGAGTTACGCGAGCGGAAATACAGACCAATTGATAACCTCTTTCTTTTTGAAGTCGGCTAAAAAACACAAATTTCCAGACGTGCACGATAAAAATTCATGAACTATTAAGAAAAACAAAATATTTTAAAAAAGATACTACTAAGATTATGTTAAAGGCTATAAAACCTTCTTTAAGTTTAAACGTAATAAATACCTCCACAAAAAGTTGATCAGAATAAACTATAAGCGAAACGGAAGTGACTTGTCATTATCAATGATTTTTGTTTATTTAGTTTATTCAATAGTAATGGAAAAATACAGAACTAGGTTAATCTAAACAAAGCTATTTGCTACATGTATTTCATGGATAAATACTTGAGGAGATTTTTTTTGTAAATATAAAAACTTGTACTTGACCATGTTAGTCTGATGCAATATATGAATTGAAGATCGCATATGAAAAAAAAAATTTTTCTTTTTTACGTTTTACAAGCTAACGCTTGACCACGATCCCACCTGGTGAAGTGGAGATTTGGTCGAAAGATGGTACGCGCTAGGTTAGTAAGTGCCTATTCACTCTACAAAAACCTTACGAAAAGTTACATAAGAAAATCCAAAAATAATTACTAATTTTTGCTAATGTCTATCATGCCTTGAAGGATGTACTACCATTATTTTGTACAAATTAAATATTTATAGGGTGGTTTATTAGATATTTCATATTCTATGAATCAAAGTAAGAACTTACCCGCTTAACCAATCATTATTTATGAAATTGACAGTTTTCTTTCATCTATCGGGCCTCATTGTACCTGGAATAAAAAATACATAAACAAAATGTAAACGTGAGGACATCATATTTTAATACACCAAAATAATATGAACACATTAAAATAAAATGTCTATCATACCATAAAGTTTCAGAATAAAATCCAACATAAGTTTAATAACATTATGTATATTTAAAAATTTGAGAACCACTATCTTAGTTAATCTCATGAGATGCAACTCCTTTCATCGGGTTGATTTAGTTCTTAATATCTTGTCTGTATTGTGTCTAATCTTTGAGCACAGAGTATGAAATTGTCCAATGAACCTATTATACGAGGGACAATTCAATGTGACCTATGCAGATTGCAACATGCGGTCAGAACGTGTCAGACCATCAATTCTCTATCGCCTAAACCTTCTGAAGAAGGAAGTCATTTGTGAGAAGCCTATTATCCCATTTCGATAAGTGTTAGAGAGTGGTGCGACAATTGATAAATTGCAGTGTTAGGTCCTTTTGCCCATTTACAACTTAAGTGTTAAGGTTCATTTTACTTGTAATGCGCTAACATTTACAAAATACGAAACATATGTCTATTCTTATTGTAGATAATAATAGTGTCAAATATAATTTATTATGTTGATTGAGTGTGTATAATGAAGTGGAACTATTTCCATCATTTCTCGAAGGTATTTTCTAATAGGAATAGAACGAAAGGAGTGTCAAATTTGAAGAGGGAGAAAGAATATAAAAATAAATCTTTTTTAATTTATTGTCTCTGTAATAAGGGTAGAATCTGTTACACAACATGTTACTTTATATCATGTGGTGTTTCTGTGTTTACCACCTTCTATCTTTATATATATATATAATTCTTCTGTGTGTGTGTATGTCACTGAACTTCTCTCAAACAACTGGACCGATTTTGATGAAATTTTTTGTGTGTGTTCAAGGGGATCTGGGAATGGTTTAGATTCACAATTTTGTCCGCTGGACAATGTTTTTTTAATTAATTTTTAATTTATTAGTAGTTGTTGATTTTGGAATGTTTTACATTGGATCCGACTGATGGTGCTACCATCGCAGTGTCAAATTTTAAATAATATTCGAATTAAGATGTGTAGACAGGACAACGTCTGTCGGGTCAGCTAGTATATATATATATATATGTATATATTTAGTACCTAAACCAGGCAGATAAATAATCATATTGGATATAATTTCTAGAATGGTAAATTTAAATATCTTGCTATATCTATCCACAGATAAGAGTGCAACAATACCCAACTAATGAGAAGTATGAAATCACAGCATTATCATTAAATACAATCATTATCTGATATGAATTTCCTTTTACAATTGAGATTAGTATGTGATGGTTACTGATAATATTCTATTGATAAAATATTTAAACAGTAAATGCCATAGACACTTTATAAAAAATTAAAATAAACTTTTCAATACAAATTTTTATAGAGTTAAGAAATCACAATATTGCAGTGCCTTTAGCATAATTGGCTTGTGGTGGGGAATAGTTAAATATTAACTGCAAAATAGAAATGCACGCATGATAGAGGATCTATATTTTTGATTCACTTTTGACAATACTTTTGGTGTCCAGATGTTCATAAATTGAGGTATGGATTACAATAATTGGCGATGAGAACAAAAGGTTATGGCAATTTGTGTAATTAACCTAGAGGTCTATTAATCTAGGCAGCCATGCAATCATTAAATCGACAAAACTAATAATACTAGGGTAATGACACATCCAAAAACAACTAAAACTCATCATTAACATATAATTCAAGCTAAACATTCACTAATTTGACTGTGAGTTAAATTAACTGATTTTTAACAATGAAAAGGTCAGAGACCATCCTCCTGTTTAAATTTTTATCATGTGACCTATTTTACATAATGGAAAAGTAAATAAATAGAATGTACGTTTAGCATAGACCAACTTTATCCATTCTTGTCACACTCAAATAAAGTTATACAAATTACGATAATAAAACAAATAGCAAAGAAACAGCTATACACACTTACTTGAATATATATTTTCTAAATGCACTATACCGTTATATTTTCACAAACCACCGACATGATATATTGATAACGTTTTTCTTTTTTAACCATTTTTGCAGTTTTGCAACTTCCCCAAAGAAACAATTAAAAATTTATTTTAAAAAGACGCCCTTTTCCGGCTTTATTGATGACATTTGACAGTGACATTAAGTTGTTCCGTTACTGATAAATTCAACAGACAGCAAAAGAAAAGAAGTACATAGTCGAATGGTATTATTTGATAATAAAATTAATTAATTTAAATTCATAATATACCGATATTACTCTTATATTTCTATCTGTTTGTGTATGGTTAAATTTTAGATAACCCTATTATCACAACAACTTAACCAAGTTTTTCAAAGGGGTTCATATTCATAAAATAAGGACTCATAACTTAGTTTAACGTTATTTAGATTTATTTTATTTTTATACAAATTTTTCGGTAAGATTAAAAGATGGCAAATAAAAAATAACTAACAATTGGAACAACACAATAGTACATTAAGACCTTGGCCTCTTCATAGCTTTCCTTTCTTTATTGACCTTATATGCTTGTGACATTTTTTGTATGTTTTCTTTGTGTATTTTATCATGTTCAACTATTCTTTTAGGATACCCAACACCTATAACACAACCAGCAGTTGTTTGAATAGATTTTGGTGCCTTCCATGGTTCATAAATGTATTCAGAGGGATATTTCTTCAATTCTGGGACATATTTTCTGATATAAAGACCATCTTTATCAGTCTTCTTCCCAAATGCAATAGGGCTGTATACTCTAAAATATTTATAGAAAAAAGCTGATGCAGATAACCACATCCAGTTACCAGCATTTAAAGACCAATCATAATCAAGAAGATAATTCTCAAACACCTTAGCCCCTTCCTCCCAAGAAATCCATAAATCACCTCTTGTTAAAAAACAGGCAACCATATGTCTAGCCAAATGGTGTATCCAACCTTCTTGTTTTAATTGACGCATAATAGCATCAACAAATGGATAGCCTGTAATGCCTTCTGCCCATGCTTTTAAGTGTTCAGGGTTTTTTCCCCAAGGAATTTGTGTACAAATTTTATTACCAACCATTTTGTCAAAATTCTCAGTGCCTGCACCTGCAGTGTAATAAAATTCTCGCCACATTAATTGTCCAAGAAGTGAGACAGGTGGCATTGTGTGAGTTCTTCCATTTTCAACTTGTTTAAGTCTGTGATAAAAAAGTTTTGCCGATAGACAACCATGACTTAAATATGGACTCAACACTGTAGTACTCGGTTCAATGCTGTTTGGTGAAGAATTAGGTTTTTCAAATTTACAAACCCATTCTTTTTTCGACATATACATGTCAAGTCTTTTTAGTGCTTCAGTTTCTCCACCTGGATATTTACATTCAGATAAATTTGTTCTATCATTAGCAATCAATTGATCCAGAAATGGGACATCAAAGTCTTTGCAATCAAAGTCTGTTGCTTTACAACAATCTGATATTTGTTTATTGATGTATATCACTTCTTTAACTTGTATATCCTGGACCAATGACAGAAACTTTTGATATGTCATTGGTACAGATCCATTATTCTTTCTTAAAACAGCATTAAAGTCATATACTGTATGTTGAACACGTCTAACAATAAAGATGTCCAACTCTTCAGCAATTTTTTCTATAGCTTCATCTTGCTCTACAACTTCAGGGTCAATGTCTACTTGTGAAGTTAAAAACTTAACTTGCCATTGTTTAAACAAATTTGGAAGACAATCCACTGCTTTACCTTTAAAAACATACAAGCGAGTATTTATCTTCCGTAAATTGTCATCTAAATCTTGTAGACTTTGTAAAAGAAATCGTAATCTGTTAATTCCGGAAATGTTTATTTTTTCAGCATTTAAAAAGTAGACAGGTCTAAGAACATGTTTTCGATTTTCAGCCTGGAATAACAGAAAAATATGCTGAGGGTACGAATAATTCGATTAGTTTAGTAAAAGTCGTTAGTTTTCTTGAATTATAACTTACTTCGTTAATTGCATTTCTAAATGCAAGATTATCGTGAAGACGTAAATCTAGGCGAAACCAATGCACAACTGACGAGACCTTAGATGCTGACATATTAGATAAAAATGTTTTGTCTTATAACATTTGCTCAGAATCTACCAATGTTGGCTTGGCGCGAAATTGCGCAAAGCACGAACCAAATTCTCACTTTGACATTGACAATTACAAGAGAATGACAATTTGACGTTGATTAATTTGGCCGTATATGACCATATATGACAGTTATGCTTGTCTTTGTTAAGCATACATTGTGTTCTGCATTAATTCTTTCACCAAGTGGTTTTATTTAAATGAAAATTTACTGTGAATAAAAATTTAAATGTAAAAACTCAAAGTTACTCTTAATTTGGTTTGTTGACTTAAAATCAAAGTTTTTATAATCTGTTAGTGTGAAATGACACTGACAAACACAGTTACAAGTTACCATAACAACGATACGTCACAACAACATTAGAGTAGAACCTAAACATTATTGAAAATCTTATAGTTTTTGAGGAGCCATAAATTCATGTAATAAAAGTTGTTTTAGCAAATATGTTTAAGGATGATCAAATTTTGTAGTAATAATATAATATGCCAAAAGTGATAGAGTTAACAATTCAAATAGACGTACAAAAAGTAAGAGAATCTTGCAAATATGCAATAGTTTAATACTATTGGTTTTTAAGTAATTTGAACAGATTAAACCAGCATTACACCTGTTTTTAGGTATCATGTCCCGGTGTATGGTTATGCCAGTCCGGTCGAGTGTCTCTAATTGTGTTTGCACTCGGCACAAGCTATCAGACATGTATGCTGCCGCCTGTCTTCCCGCTCATGTTCAAAGACGTCTTCTACTTCCAGAAGCGATTTCGGGAAACATGTGCTCTCAACAATATTTGTTGTTTATTAAGTTAGTATCATCTATGATACTTAATTTTTTACTTTTAATAATAAGACATTTAACATAATAATTTTAACAACTTGCACCATTTTAAACATGATAGGTTTTCATTACAGCTTTGGATTTATTTGAACTGTGTAAAATCTATCAATAATGCATTTAACACATTTTATTTCATTATTTCTTGCATTTCGTTAGTTTATTGACATGAATTTGTTTTTCAGAAAATGAAACAATATACTGTGAGTTAGTGCAATGGGCTGATAGCTGTGAGTCAGACAAGTGTATGTTGTTGGCGCAATACTTGGGCGCTCTCAATGATATCTTGTTCCCACCAAACACATGTTCCACTGATGGAGTAGATCTACTTATGCGAAGGACTAAAGGCTTTCCTGTAATTATATTTTATATTATATCTCTTACAAGTATATTAAACATGAAATATACTTGCAACACTGACCTCTATACATGGACAGGCTATGAACCTTAGTAGTTTGTGCCTATTTGATATTCATTTTGGCACTGACAGTTGCGGTTGAAAGTCGAGGTGTGGCTTCGAAGTAATAATTAAGACAATTAACTGACTATTTGTATGGTATGGTATGGAAATTGCTCACCATAATAATGTGAACTGAGTTGACAAATCTATAATTTTCATTTTTGAATTATTGAATGCTTGTGTAAATTGGCAGTTGATTTCACATCTACATTGTAGAGGTGGTCTAAGAAAATATTTTCTAGTTTTTGCTAAACATGTTTTTAGGGCATCTTATCCCCTAAAATAGAGATATCTACTAAAGTTCGCATTGACGAAATATTGAATCAGAAAAATAAAGTACCAAATGGGCCAGTATGTAACTGCGAGCCAGGGTCGGATGCTGATGGCTCTAGACAAAAACCTGTCTGTCATTCTCCATTGTATCACAGGTATGTAGATATATACATTATGTATGTTTCTAATATATTCTAATATTATAGAAATTCAGGCTTCAGTTGACTCACCATCATCATCATCATTATCAGCTCACTATTCGTCCTCACCGAGGGGCTCGGAGCCTACACTACGATAAGGGTGATTAGGCCATAGTCAACCACGCTGGCCAAGTGCGGGTTGACTTCACACATATCTTTGAATTTCTTCTCAGATATGTGCAGGTTGCATCATGATGTTTTCCTTCACCGTTAGAACGTCGGATAAATGTACATATGTAAATCGAAAATCGAAAAACACATTGGTACAGTCAGCGTCATATAGATCGTCACAGACAAGATATGCAAAT